CTTCATGCCAATAGAACTCCGTGTAAGTACTATACTAAATTTTCCTGTACTGAAGGCATATGCAATGGTTACCTTGACTGACACATAAAATACCCAAAACAAAATACCCCAAGACTTGAGGATTTTTTGTTCTATGAATTAGAGACATGAAAGGATTGCCTCAGCATCAGAAGTGTTATAAGCTCACATCTGTAAGTCTTTCTTGAAGATTTTCTTATTTCTTATACAAGAATGTTCCCTGTCTGAAATATTACAGTGTTCACTCTATATCTGAGTTTGAGAATTATCTAATCCTTTTTAATTTTTAATTTTCCTCTACTTTTTCTCCACACATAGGACAAGCACTTGCTTTCAATATGATGTTTAACACTTTTTATGTTTTTATTTCAGTCAGCTTGAAAACATGCTAGTAAACATGCAAACATATTGTAAAGGTTTAAAATTTGGGGTGTGTATACATATATCAACAGGAGTTATGAATTATGTATATTCTGAGCCTATATAAATTAGATTTTGAAGAACAAGCATCAGAGTACTCAGGCAGGTCATAATAAGAGATTCCATCTGAAATGTAGAAACTACCTTGAATAAATTATCCATAAGTTAACACTCTCATTACAATGACATATTTATTATTTCTGGGTTTGTGATGTTCCTTTAATGCACTCTGACTAACTGTTCTAATGGCACTTTAAGAAACCATTTCAGACTTTTTTCCCCATTGAAATTTAGCACACTTTATTTACATTTGAACTAAAATAATTTAAAATAATGTAACATTAAAATCAATCACCCACTTCCCAATGTGGAATACCATTTTCTTCTGCCCAGAAACACTTAATTAAAGCAGGATATAACTTCAGTAATTATTTTCACACAGAACGACTCTAAAATTAATAGTCACTTGTAAGACTGTTTAAAAATTGGGAGACTGACAATGAAAACAATCTTAAATGCTTTGTTTATGTGGCGAAAAGGAGTGATCCTTTAATTCCCTCACACACATTAAACTGATTTCACAGAGTTTCTGTACTGGTGTTTAACATAGTCAAGTGCTTGAGGTTACACAGAATAAACAATCTTGAGATCTTATTGCAAATGTTTGCAATTTATGATGTAAACTGATTTGTGAAAAAATAACAGGATCCATGTCACTGAAGCCAAAAGGGCATTTTTCAGAAATCAAAATAGTTCCGAAATTTGAGCACTGGGTTATACTAAAGTATTACCATCTGAGGATCTACAAAGTTATAAGTGTGGGGAAAAACTCAAAATAGATATTTATCAATTCAGATTCAAGCAAAGGCCTCCGATCTTACCGGGCCCTCCAGTATCTTAAGGTCCTTAATACTAATGATGTCTTGAATAATCTCCTTTAACTCGGTTTTCCCCCAAGGAAAAAGATCAGGGATTTTGTAGCTCGGGAAGGTTTTGCACACCTTGAAGGGTCTTGGGGCGGGGAGGGGGGGTGGAGGGAGTGGCGAAATCTCTATTAATTATTTATTACAATTATTGAGTTCCTACCCAAACGACGTGCATGTTGGCCCTTATTTAAATTTAAAGCGAAGACTTCTTCGGACCCTTTCTCAGTGTGGCTTTGGAAACCCTGGGTTTGGAACGTCCCTCACACACACTCGGGCGCCTGCAGGCGAGTTTGGGTGGCGGCGCTGGGGGAAAACCCAGGGAGAGCGTGAATGGGAGGCTGGGCCCGAGGGACGCGGCCCCGACCCACCGGGAAAGGCGGCCTCGGCCCTCGCTGAGTCTCGGGAGAGCGGACACCCCCGACGCGTGGGTCCCACAGGCCGCGCCCAGCTCAAGTACCGCCGACAGGGCCAAGAAACTTTGGCCTTTCTCTCCCGGCCTGGCCGCCTCCGCGGGCTCCCCGGCGTCCACCGCTCCCCGCACCCCGGCCCCCGCTGTTGCCGCGCCCAGCCCACCTCGCTCTTGCCGCCGGGAAAGTTCCGGGACGACCTAGGCCATGCTGTCGCGCCCCCGTCCTGGTCCCCTGGGCCTCGCCTGCCCGGGCCCAGATGTACTTGCTTCCTTTGACCTCAAGCTTCCCCCAAGCTAAGCTGCGAGGACAGGCTGGGCTTCGCGTCGACCGTGCCGCAGGCTGGACCCAGGACGGAATATCTAACTCCCCAGGGCCCAAGTTCTCCCGTGACCTCCGACCTCCGTTGGGGTGCCCATAGAAATGTCCGAATCAGAGTGGGGGCCTCCACTAGGCTTGGGGCTGGGAGCCTGCGTGTTCGGACCCTCCGGCCGGGCGCCGACGGGAGCGCGCCAGAGGCCGCCCGGCCAAGGCGGCGGGCTTGGCGCGGCGGATTCAAGACGCACCACACCCCTAGGCTGATGTTTACTACGAAAACTGAGGACTGCTAAGAGACCTGCCAACTTGTCAACTAGACTTGCAAGGCCTGGGCGCTGAATACGGCCCAAGTCCTGTTCAGTGGTCTTTGAAAGCTAAAAAGATAAATATAAAGATATCACCCACGTCTACTCAGAGGAACAGCTTTGAGTGTGCGAGCTCAACCCGGGAGAAGGCCGGGTGGGGAAGACCGGAGCGCTAATGGAAAACGTCAGGCTTTGTCGAAGGGGTGGGAGGTGTCCACTATGCGCCCTCCGGCCCAAAGGGGGCCCCAAGGGACACTGGGGAAACCCTTGATCTTCGCGGGGGATGCCCCCATCCCCAGAACGCTCGCGGGTAGGGAAGCTCCGGGGCCGCATCTTCGCAGTCTCGATCCACACTTAAAACAGGCAACGCTTTCGGGTTTTACTAGAGGTTTCTTCCAGGAGTAGGGGGTAGGGGAGGCTGGAGGGAGGGAGAGGATCCTCGGTATTCTAAGGACGGCTAGCACCCGGCTTTTCCTAAGTAGGGCCCTTGCTTCTACCTTTTCCTAGATTTAACCAACGAAAAATCTACATGGGCCAAAGCGCTGAATTGGAGAGGAGAGGTGGAAGATTCGCCCCTCCCAGAGCCCCGGTTCCCTTCCGCGGCCTTTACCCACTCCCAAACCTTCAACCCTTGCTTGGTGAGGGTGGTCGATCTGGGGTCGAGTGTCCATTATGCCTCGATTAACCCAGGTAGATTTCGCACCCTGTGATCCCTCTTCCCTTTCTCCTCAAGCTGCTCCCCGAAAAACTTCAAAGGTGAAAGTGCAGCCCAATGAAGAATGAGAGTTTGCGTTGGGGAGTCCATTTTATATTATTTTACATATTACCTGTTCCTTTATTGGTTTGGTGTAAAATCAATCCGGTTCCTATGCTGGGCAGATAAAAAGTGGGTGGAGGTTGCGCTCAGCGATATCGAGAGCCACAGATCCACCATTCTCACGGCCCCTTAAGAGCTGCACATATAAGCAGAAGCAAGCGCTTTTCTAAGTTGATGTATTCGAGAGATAGGTACACATTAATCAAAAAGGAAGAAGGAAAGACTATCCCGGGTAGTTTAATAGTAACAGGAACAAAGATGACGCGAACCCCATCAAATGAAACAATACTATTTTCATTCAATTGATGGCAAAGTGTCTTCAATTAATAACTTGGCACTTATTTAAAAGGTTTAACAGAGGTGAAATCGAAACATTTTGTACCAACAACACATCATGAAATAACAGCATCTTCTTCTGTTTAAAATAACTTAATACACTAGAAAAAATATGGCAAATATAAATAACTTTGTTTTCATGGAGAACAAATAGTTACAAAGCTCAACCGCATACCAAAGTTCAGTTAAAGGAGCTTTTCCTCTTTCTTGTAAATTAGGAGGAAAAAAAAAAACTAAGGAGGCTTTCTAGTGATTGGGATACAGATTGCTTAGTCCAGGGTATCCCAGTTTAAATAGTTACATGAATTGAAACAAAAAAATTTACTTGAATATACACCTTTGTGAGATAAAATGCAAATGTTGTAAGTCAACCATCAGTTCACACATTATAGCCAAAATAAACTTTGTTCGTGTGTATCAACATATTTTACACAAACTTACTGCCTGTATTTAGTTGGGTATTATTCAAGGTGATTGTGACAGGATAGAGAGGGGGAAATAAAACAAGGTTCCCACGTAGGACATCAGGAAATCAGCAGGAGGGAATAGAAGAAAGGAGGGAGGAGAGGGGACTAACATTGATTGAGCGCCTACTATGCGCCAGGAGCCCTCTGAGGCGCTGTACCTTTATTATTTCATTTGGTCTTCTTTTCTTTTTCCTTTCCCCACATTTTCTGCCAGCCTCCGTCTTCTTGGGACAGAGTGTAAATTGTTTCCCTTCCAACCCTTTTCTTTTTGTCCAACAGGATCAAAGGGCAAAAATTATAGATTTGATATATATCAATTTCCAGATGCTTTTGGTATTGTTTTTCACACTGAAGATAAAAATGGAGTAAGTGCATGTGAGTAAAGCAGGGAGCAGGGAGACACCATCAATGGAATACAAGTAACATGCAAAACCGGAATTTACTGTCAGCAGTCTGGACAGTGCTGCCATAATAATTTCTCAGAGAAATCACAGTCTGTGATAACATTTTTTGTATTAATATCATTTTTTTCTTCTCCTCGTTTTTGTACTGTCTTCCCTCGTCTTACTCTTCCATACGTGGTGGTTTTTAACTCAAAGCATCTGATTCAACGTAAAAGGAGGCCCGCCTCTCTTATCAAATTTCTTGTATTAAAGTGAACTTCGCAGAAAAAGGTCAGTTTCAAAACCTGTGAACTTCCCAGCTGCGCACTTTTTTAAATCTTAATTATTTAAATAAGTATACTTCTTCCTTCTGTTTTGCGTTTTTTAGCCCATTTAAAAAAACATACACTTTAAGCTGGTACCCCCCCACCCCATTCTCTCGAGATTCGTCCGGGTTATTCTCCCATATTTTTAAATGTATAAAATACTTTAATTTTTTAAAATTTGTTTTTGTTCCTTGGTTCTTTCTCCGATTTCAACTTCTGTCAAATAGCAATAAGTTTAGTTCCCTTCCTCCTTTTTCTTTCTGGTTTATCTTTCTACTTTTTTTTTTTTTTTTTTTTTTTTTTGCTCATTTTTTATTAACTGGATTTTTATTTCTACGCAAGAGTCCATCGTTGCAGCTTTGCCTTGAGCCACACTCCGGTGTCCCAGCGCTCCCTTGTTCAGTCTCTCCAGACTTCCCGAAAACTTGCCCGTACGAAGCCAAATTCTACGCCCTTGGGTAAGTTTATGGTCAGGAGCCACAGAGCTGGTGCGCCTAGGGGGATTCAAGGTCTGGCGCGGAGTCTCACCCTCCGAGTCTTGGATGTGGAAGGTGGCAAAGGGCGATCAGCGGGGCGGAAAAAGGGTCGGTTCCGGAGGTCCGGAGGGGTTAAACGGAAAGCAGCGGGGCACGGAGGGTTTGCAGGGTGCGCGCCGCGCTAGGGCGCGACTTTGGCGCTGGCGTTGGCGTCACAGACCCAGGGCGGCAGCGTGCTTTTTGGCTTTCAGTCTGAGATCCGCGATGCTGGAGTTCTTGCTGGTGGTCTTGGCTGCGGCGGCGGCAGCCACCACAGAGGCGGCGGAGGCTGAGTCCGCCGCCAGGGTGGCCAGCGGCAGTCCGAAGGGCGGCGCCGGGAACATCATATAGGGCGCGTGCGCGGCCAGGTGCGGGTGCAGGTGGTGGTGCGCGTGCGCCACGGCGCTGTCCAGCTGCAGCTGCGCCTGAACCTGAAAGGACAAGGGCGTCACGTTGCAATGACTATCCTAGGGTGACAACAGAATAGAAACAGAGCATTAACGGCGTCCAGCTTGGTGAGGGGGAAGGCTGGGGCTGGGGACAGGAAAGGGGAGTTTGGCTGACCTTCTCAGTTTGTTACTGAGTCTGGGGCGCTGCGGGGATACTCCGGTGCGCCAGAGTCTCTGAAGCTCGTTCAGCACGTCTTACCTCCCTGAGCCCTGGGGGACTCCTGTCTGCAGGAATGTGGCCGCCCCCTCGGGAGCTGGGCCCATCAGAGGGCAACACTGCTATTGTGTTAAAACATCGCCCTCCTCAAAATTACAAAGGTAATTTGGAAAGGCTCTCTTGATGCCATCATACACCTCTTATCCATTAAAGCACTGAAGTAATAACAAGCAAACTATAAAACTTTTCCCCGTCAGCCGGGGAAATTATTGCATCTTCATCACAATTGGCACAATTGTTAGTACTTCTAACCTTTACTGCTATAACAATTACCCTTGATATAAAACAGATCTTCTTAGAAATGCAGATTCTACTTCAGAAGGTCTGCATTGGAACCTGAGATTCTGCATTTCTAACAATCTCCCAGGTGGTACTGGTGCTGCAGGCCTGCAGATCACTTTCTGAGTAGTAAGGGTCTCCTTTTAAGACCCCACTCTCTCTCCAATCATTCTCTCTTGCTTCAAAAGCCTAGCATCAGGATGTAAGCTAGAGTCCTGCAGTGTCAAGAGAGCTAAGATCTCCCTAACAGTAACCGTCAATACATGGGTACACCCAGATGTCTCCCCAGTCCAGGGTGTTGCCAACTGAGAGCTAATTTTTGACTTCACAGCCCTACCAAGCAGGGGTCCCGGCTGAGGAAGGGGAAGGTCAGGCACTGGTTGGGTAAGGATTGAGCCCTTAGGCTGGGAAAGCAGGGGCGTTTAGAGCACTGGGATTTCCCAGGATTAAATCATTGCTGCAGGCTGTCCTTTTAAAATGTAGTCTTAAAGGTTTCTTTAAGCCTAAGAAAGGGATTGCAGAGGCAGTGCATCCCTAGGAAGACCAAGGCTTCTCTCTCTACTAGAGATGAAGCTTTGTTTGCAGAGACAGCTTTTAAAAATCAAGTCTGAATTGGAAGTACTTTTATTTATTTACTTTTCTTTTGTCAGAGACATTTATTGTGACTGAGGGGTAGGAAATACCTAGAAAAATATTTAGAAAGTTGCCTTAGAAAACACCTTAGGACTAACTTCTGTATTGGATCTGACAAAATCTTAATCAAAAGGCTTTTCCTTCCTCTCCCCAAGTGCAATCTTTAGTGCATTTTTAAAGGACCAGTTGCTGGCCTCAGGCCTCTGCAGGTTTCCCATGAGAACAGAAAGGACTAGGCATGTAGGCCCCTGACATTTTATAGGTTTTTAAAGGGGAGTAGATTTACTATATCATCTCAAAATTATTGTTCAACTGCATGGACACCAACACTGGGACTCAGAGAGGGCATATTCAACAGTTCAAGCAAACATCCAGGTCTTTTTACAGTTGAAAACTGGTTGAAACTGGGCTATACTTGCCTGCTGAAATGGCATCCTTAAAGCACCTACGTTGACATAGGGTGCAACTCTACAAGCTTCAAACTGGCTGGCAGCCCCTATGAGAACACCTGTAAAAAAAAGGGGGGGATAAAACACAATAATGTGAGGTTAATATTTCCAGCATTGTTTCCCAGAGTTCCAAACAATATCAAAATAGAACAAACTCCTTTGGAATTGGACTGTTATCTTCCTAAACAGCTGCCATAATGAAAATAAATGCACTCCCGAACTTTAGTACTCTCATTAACTGCTTTCAGGCAGATTTTAAATAGAGAACAGGATTATCTTTCCGAGTTTCTTTCTGACTTTGTATGACAATATTACCCAGTTCTCTTTTTACTTAGTATATCAGATGTTCTTTGAGAAGCATACCTTTATGGAGTTGATTTTCTTGTTTTCTACATTTTGCTCTTCGATTTTGAAACCAAACCTACAAATTGGAAAAATAAAATAAAATCTAGATTTTATGAACTCAAACATTTTCCTTTAATTACCAGAGTACACTAAAAAAAAAAAAAGTCGTATTTTAGGCAAGGATTGAGAGATATAGTGAGCGATATTTGAATTATAAAAAACACTCTCAATTTCCAAAGTCAAATAATGTAAATGAATGACAAAAAAGAATTTCATAGACTTTTGCAAGATAAATTGTTTCTTGATAAATTACTATTAGTCTTGGTTTCATCTTTCTACATTATGGAGTCCCCAAGGCCTAAAGCTCTCCCTGATACCTGATACTAAAGTGATAATGGGTTTAGATGTTTGCCCAGTAAGACCTGAGAAGAATGTGCTCATTAATAGCCTGTAATATTAATTAGCTTCATCTTCAAGAAAAACCAAACACCAAAGCAAATAGTGACTCTGTTTTGGGGGGGGGGTGGATAAGAGTGGGGGAAGAGGTAATTAGTGCCATAAAAGCCTCACTACAAAGAAGTTTAGAATTTCTCTGTTCCTCTGTGCAGTAGAGTGTAACACAGTAGCAGAATAATTGTGCCATTATCATGATAATCTAATTCGCTTCTACAGAAAAAATCCACTGCTTATGGTTAGGGTAGTAGAAAATAACCCTAAAATTTAAATAAGAGTATGAAAAAATGAAGACCAGGAATAAAGTTCACTTCTTATGAGGGAAAAAAAAAAGACAATATTCTGTGAAAAGGGGAAGGTATGAATCAAGTCACTCTGGATACTGTCTTCTCCCACATATTACCTTCTTAAATACACTTGCCAACTTTCAGAGGCAGTATGACAGATTTTTAAAAATTCATACAAAGCTTGTTTTTACACTCTAATCATACAGCATTATGTTCCAATAATACAGCATATTGACTGATTCACAATTTAAGGTTTGAAAAAAACTATAAAAGAAAAATACCGCTTCAGAGCTTTTTCTTGTTTTTGAAAGCAAGTGTCACAGTCAATATAAATCTTCAAAAATTCCCCTGCCATTTAGTGTAGTAGAAGGGTAGATTTCGTGCCAGGGTGGTATCCTTTGTGTAACTCACATGGCCTGAGGCTTCTTGCCTCTTTTTTCCCCTAGAAGAGTTGGAACTGAGATACTAATGCTCATAACTGTAATAATTATCATCATGTCTTTAAGGGGTTGCTGAGCCTCTAGAGATTTGAGTACACACAGCAAAGCAGCAGAGGCTTAAAAAGGAAGAGCAGAGCCTTCTATTGACGGCTGTGATGACCAAGGCAGCCTATTATTACTTTTTCCCTTCAACGTGACTGCTCTGTTTTTGTCCTGATCCTATTACAAGATGCGGGAAGCCCCATAAGAATTGCATAGTTTGCTGCAGATGGTGGTCTCTTCACCCAGAGACCCCGGGAGTATCTGTTACAGTGATACTTTATAACAGCTGCAGATGTTCAGGCCTAAAACTGCTCCATGTGTTCAAACAAATAATGACCATCATTTTCTCCTATTTTATTATTTGAGCGGAAATACAGTCTGAACACTTAAATGTTTTCTCCATAAAAGTAGAAGGATATGTATGCATGTGTGTATATAATTTTCTACCTTGAATGCCCCCAAAGCCTATTGCCATTACTTCCACCCCCACAACCAGTGAAAAAAACAAAAAACCTGCTCCAATTCTAACTTCATCACATATGGCACTTGTTGGGTGTTGGACTCTGGGAATGACCATATTAAGATATGTAAGTTGTTTTAAAATCAAGTTCTGTAGGTTCAGGTTTGCTGTCTTGGTTAAGTGAGGGAACAAAGAGTGACCAAAATGCATTTCTGTCTCCACTGTTTTACACACAGTTTGAGATCGACTGCTAACGGCAAACTGTAAATTTCCACACTTAACAGTTGCTAATTTTCTTTATAGTCTGTACATCTATAAACCTAATTGGCATATCCGCTTGGCAACCCTAGACCCCGGAGCAGGCCCTCAAGGAAAACCAACTCAGGCGAACAAAATATTCGTTGTAACTTTTAAGGCATCCAGAAGATAAAACGTTTTCTGTGGGATTTTTTTTTTTAAGGCTTATAAAAGTAGGCCCATTAGGATTAAACCACATTAAAGGAATCGTAAGGCGGGGGTGGGGGGGGTGGGGGGGATGGTGGTGGTTGTGGTTTATAGAAACTCTGGGAGCAAACCCAGCACAGCTTTCTTCTGCTGGGAACATATGTTGGGATGGGGTGGGGGTAGGCTACAAGACTAAGATTTACTTTGGAAAATAAGACCTCTAGTAAAGATATCCCATCCCTTCTCACCTCACTCCAGACTCTTGAACCCGCGCCCTCCGTGTGTGTCTCCCAAGCGGCCTCTCTAACCCCACGCGTGCCCCTCCTCCACTCCCCGCGCCCTGCCTTGACCTCCTCACAGCTGGATACCTGCACTCGGGCTTCGGACAGTCCCAGCCTTTGGCTCAGTTCCTCGCGCATGAAAGCGTCTGGGTAGTGGGTCTCATCGAAAAGCCTCTCCAGTTCGTTGAGTTGTTCCAGAGTGAAATTGGTCCGACTTCGCCTTTGCTTGATTTTGGTCTGGCCTTCGTCCTCCATCCCTTTTGCATCCTCCTTGCGATCCTTCAGCTCTGGGGACACTGGAGGGGGCACCACAAATAAGCCACGCATATGTCCACGTGCGCACAACACACACACACACGCGCGCGCGCGCACGGACAAAAACAACACAGCAAATCTGTTACTAGATTTGTCTACAAGATGATGGAGGATCCTGCCCCCTCCCGGAGTTCCTGTCTAGTTCCTCACCCTGTCCTGAGGAAGAGGATTCTGGAGACGCGAGAAGATCAACTCTGGGCGACCGCCTGCCCCCAGCTATTCACCCACTCACCCCTTCTCAACTGAAGCCTCAACTCACCTCCTCGCTGTTCGCTCCACCGTCCCCAGCCCTCCCCCGCGAGCACCAAATCCATTCCACTCAACCTCTCTCGCACTCACCCTCTCCCTTGCCGGCACGGAATCAAGAGCGCCGCGCCCGGCCAGATATAGAATCCGGTCGGGGCAGAAGGGCGCGGCGAGGCCATGCACCGGCCTCTCACCGGCTACTCCCAGGATGCTGGGCTATTCTCAGGCCAGCTCCGGCCGCCGCTGGCTCTCTGCTTCTCTCAAACTTGCTGCTCTAATTTGGGAACAATTGGGCCCAAAGGTCGCAACGGCGGAACACGACCCGGGTGCTGAGCGGCACTGGGAGCCGCATCTCCGGGCTTTCGGTGCTGACCCAGGGCTCAAGCCTAACCCTGCGGAGGACCACTGGCGGCCAAGCAGTCCCTACCTCCCATGCCGGACACTGGGTGCCTGAGCAGAGGCACCCACGCCATGTTGGCTGCCTGAAGGGCTTGCGGCTCACGCCAGGCCAAAAGGCGAGAGCGGAGATAACTAGCTTCGCGAGGCGCGCGAAACAGACCTCTGCCTCAGTTCTCTCCTTCTCCCTCCCTATTGGAAAGGCAGACTCGACCCTAAATGCTTAAACCCACAGAGATCAACAGGTTCAAGCAGAACATTCGTGATCCTTGGTTTCTATTGGTTGCGCAAAGCCTTTTCATTCATCTAGCAGCTCGGTTGTTTAATAAAATATGCATTTTTTTTTCTGCTCTGGGTCTGTACACATCCGTTGCTACTTTACTGTCCTTCCTTCTCCCTTAAAAAACAGGAGCTCTGAGAATGTGAGCATACAGAGTCACCCGAGGGATATATATTTAGGCCAAGGGGCAGTGATCAGGGGAGCACATATCAACATAAGCTGCCCTCTGGAACCTTCATCCTCTGCGCCTGAGTCGGAGCCTTGGGTTTTTAAGGTGTCAAATCTGAGTTTGGATAGTCGAGGCTGTTTGCAGTTCTTCCTGGCCCAGGATCCCGATCAGCATGGGTGTTAAAAATCATTTCCAGAAGAGCCAGCCTGCAGAGAAATTAATACTTGTCCTGAGCTTGGAAATCAACAATCCCAGGACTGTGTCTGCCCGGGTTCAGACCCTAACCGCGCCATGCGGCGGGCTGGTGTACCCTGGGCCTGGAGCAGCAGACTCACGCCTGGGAGGCTGCACTGGCCGCCTGACAGCTGTGCCACAATTTTCCAAATTTAGGAGGACCTGCTGCCTGGTCTGGGAGAAGAAGAGCCTCTAGATCCCAGCCCAGTCTGGCAGTCTAGCTACCATGATCCTAAGTGTTGCCTGCATTTCTTGTACTCAGAGTTCGTTTTATGGACATTCGTCCTTCCACGGGAGAGGAAGCGGATAACATTATAGCTAACATTCGGAGCCAAGTTAATAAAATATTCCCACTGATATTGTAATGAAATTTAATATGAAAACACACCCTTCAGATTCTCCTTAAGGGTTGAGAAGGCTTTGTCTATTTCGTGTCATCCACAGTGGATGTCTTTCAAACTTTTGGAGCTTCAAAGAGAAAGATGTCCACATTTCCACTTGATTAATAGACTTAATATAATCTCTATTTCCCCCCCCCAAATTTCATTTATTGGCCTAAACAGGAACAGACCGTGTTATAAACAACTTAATTGCTTGCTTAAATATGTGATTCTACGCATGTCACATATTTTCCTAATTGGAAAAATATGGCAGCACACCAGTTACTGCAGGCACCAAGTGCCAAATTAATTTTATTGTTGAACTCTTTTGAATTGGTACAGGACGCTCCACCATCTAGATAAAGCCATTTCCTAACACTTTGCTGGCACCAAAGGATTCCTCACAACCCCCCTCCGACAAAACCAGAGTACTAAAGGATTCGAAACAGCAATGGAATTGTGTAAATATCGAAAAACCAACCCAAAAGGGAGCCTAACGTGTCTCCCGAGAGAACAGTCTAGACTGCCTTGGCCCTGTTCGATCTTAATAGCTCAAAGAGAATGAGAAGTTTTGACCTCCAAGATCCGAGAAGCCAGGATCTTCGTGGAGTTCGAGTGGATCTTAGCCGCGGCCGGAAACCCTGGGGCGACCCGAGAGTGAAATCTCTCTCTCCTCTCTCTCTCCTTCCTGTCTTTTTCTTTCTTTCTCGGGCCTAGGAAAGGGGCTCCCGCAAACTCGGCGCTAGATGATAACCATAATCCCACCGCCTGGCCCAGCTGCTGTCAGCACCCCCGCGGCAGCCCGGCCCAGCGAACTTCCCCATCCGCCCGCTGGCCGTCTGGGCTGCCGGCCCATCCTCCGGCTGGTGAAATGCGCTGCAGTGGAACGGGCATAGCCGGAGCATCTGAGAAGGAAGCGCGCAAACCCCACGCCCCCCGTCTTCACAAACACTCGGACCCCACCCACGACCGTGCACACCACCGGACTCCCACCCCTCCATCATCACTCTAGCTTCCAAAGCTGGGGTCCAAGGGCCCTCTCCGCGTCTCGTCCCTCTCCCCGCTGGGCCTCGGGGTCCTCTTTTGCCTGAGAGGAGTCAGGAAGGCGGGAAGGGGAATCGCGGCTGGGGTTTAGGCCGTTACCCTCCGTGAGCCGCGGGCTGCCAGGCTCCCTGCTTCTCTCAGCGGCGCCCATGTCCAGCTCCCGGACGGGAGAGCGCCCTCCTCCAGCTCCTCCGCCTGCTCCTCCTCCTCCTGCACCTCCTCCGCCTCCTCCGCCTCCGCCTCCGCCTCCTCCTCCGCCGCCGCCTCCGCCGGCCGCCCGGACTGCCGGGCTGCTGCGGTCGTCGCGGCCCGGCTCGGCGCAGCCCGTCGTTTCCTTGGTCCCGCGCAGCGGCCCGCTCTCCAGCACCTCTCGGTACGTGATCGCCTCCTTCTTCTCCTTCACTTTCTGGTCAAAAGACTTAGAGACGAACGCCGTAAGTTCTTCCATCGCAGCCGAAGCCGGTCAACCCCGCGCTCAACCTCTCCCAGCCGAGCCCCGCTCTTTTTTTCCTTCTTCTTTTTTTACTGCTCCAGCCCCCCCAATAATAACACATCAATGGGGCAGGGGGTGGGGGAGGAGCTGGAGGAGGAGGAAGAAGAAGAAGAAGAAGAAAAAGAAGAGAAGAAAGAAGAAAGAGGAGGAGAAGTAGGAGAAAAAGAAGTAAGAAGAGGAGGAGGAAGAAGAGAAGGAGAAAGAGGAGGAGGAGGAGGAGGAGGAGGAGGAGGAGGAGGAGGAGGAGGAGGAGGAGGAGGGGGAAGGGGCGGGGGCCGCCTGAGGGAAATGGGAACTGATGCTTCCCTGCCGGAGCGCGCTTGTTCAATGTTAAGATCTTTGACAATTCTTCCTGCGGAGAGTTCAGATCTGATAGCAATGCTGCGCTTGAAGTCTCACTATTTATACTTCGCAAAGGCGGCCCCTTGTTCTGAGTAAATTACCTCCCCTTCGCAACTGGGAGGGAGCCCCTTCCTGGGGAAGCACCCACACCACTACCTGGGGTGGGGGGTGGGAGGGAGGAAGAGAGGGAGAGAGAGAAAGAGGGGGAGAGAGAGAGAGAGAGAGAGAGAGAGAGATTGAGATTGATTGAGGCTGGAGTCCAGGCAGGCTGGAGCAGGAGTGGGAGGGCAGAGAAGGGGACGCGAGGGGGCGGGAAAAGGAGGCCGGTCCCAGGCTGTCCGGGTTTTCAGATAGCCTCGGCCCCCTGTGCTCTTGGCCATTAATCCAGGATTGACGAGAATCCCTAATTAATTTAATTAGGCGTGGATTTTGCGTTGGTGTCACGATTCAGTTAAACACTGGGGAGCTGGACCTACTCCGCCGGGGCGTGGCCAAGAGGAAACTGACAAGTGCGCGGCTGCGGGAGTCAGTCGGGTATCCGGACTGGGCATTTAGACCCCACAACCTCGCACCGCGTCAGGGTGCCGCGCAACTGCTCCTCCCCGCCTTGCTGCCAGGCTTGCTTGACCTGCATTAGGCGCCCCGCACCCCAGTTCCGTATCCTGACCCTGCGTCCCAATCCTACATCCTCCACCCTTCAACCCACACAGCTCGGCAACCTGGGTTCACAAACCTGCTCAGAGTCAGGGTCCTTTACAGCTTTCCAGACCCGCGCGTCTCCTTAAAGGGGCTTCCCGGCTCGCAGCCAGAGCTGAGCTTGGGTCTTCACTAAGCTCCCCGCCCAGGGGAGTTTGTGATTCACCCCACTACTCGTGCCCTAGAGCCCAGGCCGACACCTCTACAGACAAACCCAACTCGTACGGGCCAGTCTATTTAACACATTTCCGGAGCAACTGTTCCTGACAGATTCCATTTTAAAGTATTTCTTTAGCGCCTGGTCAAGGACAGTTTGACTTCGTTTCCTCTTTGAGGTCTCAGGATCCTGACCCCTTTTCCCTTACAACTCCCTGAACCCGGACCCCTCCCACTATTAACTGCAGGAGGTCTTCTTTAGCATCTTCAGAAACATTCTAGTTGGTTTCCTAATCTTGAAAAGCGAATTATTATCCCTCTTTGAGTTTGAAAAAAAAATTCATGTTAAGTTTATACCCCATCTAATTTTTTTAAAAATCATGGACTATTCAAAAAGAGTCACCGGGAGGAAGATCTCTCTCTCTCTCTCTCCCTGTCAAAGCCACAATTTAAAATTCTATTCCTGGACTATTTTCATCGAAATAGTTTGTTATATGGAAGGAACATCTATATTACTGAGTCATTTGTCCTGTGTAGGGCAAAGCTTGCAGTGAGCAGTGTGGCCATGTATATATCTCACACAAGAATATTTACATAGAAAAGATAATTACTCGAGCCTACAAACAAATATATCTCTCCAAGTGTGGTTTGGGGGACATTTTCAAGTAGTATGAATATTAATGCAGGTTTTCTTCTCATGTTAAATGTAACTAGTTCATTTTCTTGGATCTGATACTCTCAGGAAAAATAAAAGCAGTTACAAAACTGTGATAGGTATACTTCTGCCCTTCGATTGAGGCATGAACAGATAATTTGAAAACTATCATCAAAACAATCTGAATCATTTGTAAAAAGAGAAAACAATTATATCATCAGTGGTTCTAGAATATATAAAAATAGAGGCTATATGTACCTTTGTCATTCTACATATACTACTCTTCAGATTAAAATGTTCACATTTAAGTGAATTTAAGGAAAATGAAAATCATACTTTTTAGGAATGTTACTTTGTCTTTTTTTTCTTTTGAATTCTGAAGTTGTTTCTTAAAACATTTAGTGCTATATTTAGGGGTAATAATTAAAATCTTTGTTTCCAGTAGCAATAGCTTTTAGGTATTAATGAATTATATGAGTGCTTGCTTCTATTTTATCACACTACAAAAGAGACTCATATACTCACATTTTTCAAAGTTGTGAATTTAGAAACATGATTTTACACTTAGTCTTGGTTTACTACTTGTAACCACTTGAATTCTGATATTATCAGAGAATAACCATAAAACTTTAATCCTTTATGAAAATCCATCTTTCAGGTTATTTAGCAGAATGACCAGGAATGAGGTCAGCTAAATAGATGTGGTGCTCAAAGAGCTCTAAAATTGAGGTGTTAAATGTGTATTCACAAACAGCTCCAACATAATCGCTATTAGAAGTCTGGCAAGGGATCAGGAGACTCAATAGCTACTTTTAAAATTCTGTCTACTGAGCTTGAGGGAAAGATGACCACTTTAAAGGTGATCAGAGAAGTCTCAGACACAATCATTGGGGAACTCACACCAAATAGATTTTTCCCATAGATTTTCCTGGCATATGGGTTTTTGTATACATTTAGGAATAGTAGTGTTAATGTCAGATGCAGATGTGAGAAATCTGCAGTGCCTCCCCACAAATTTCCACTGGCCCAAGGGAAGTTTAGTTAAAAACCAACATCAACAAAGTTTTAAAATCATATGCTAATAAATGCTCATGAAGTTCTAACGATGTTTCATTAGATAAATTTTTCTTGAGACAGGGTTTTTCAAAATGTGGTTTTGGTAAAAAGAAAAAAAAAAAAAACCAACAACACTGAATAAAAAGTTTAGTTGACAGCCTGCAGACAGATACACAGATTCCAATGAAATTCAGGACGCCAAGCTCCCCCCCGCCCCCAGCTCTTGAATTATTTAAAATAAACATGTAGTGTAGTAGTTAAGTTTTAAAACGGTCCTTCAAAACTAGTTATTTAAGGTAAAGTCATTTATGAGCAATATATTTGTGGAGGTGATTTTCATCCTCTCAAACCGTCAGCGGAAAACTCTAGCCTGGATATCTATCAGTTGTTGTGACGAGTTGGTTCTTGCAGTCGACCCAAACCAAGGCCAAGGGTTTATTCACCTCCTTTAGGTTTCTTACAGATAAATAATGTAGTATGAGTTACAGAAAATGCTGAATCGCTGTAATTTCTATTGGTTTAAACAACAACAACAAAATCTATACATTTAATTTCTCTTTCAGAAGAAACCTCGGCTCCCTGCCTCAGGCAGCCTTCTCCCATTCCTCCACCAACCCGTTAACTTTAATGTGGGAAACTAATTTGCACCCAACCTGTGAATGCCTTCACCTTCAGGGTAGAAGAAACACCGATTTTAATGTATTTTTGCAAATAAATCATTAGAGTTTAATCACACACGACTCTATACAGACACACTCCCATGATTTATTATCGTTGGGCTAGTTTCCTCCTCCCCCAGAGTGAGATAACTAATTTTGCTACGTGTGGTGTCTTAAACATAACTTCCTACGATGCAGATTTGTTTACTGATTATCTAAGACGATAGCGACGGTTACTAAGGCAATAACACGTTTCAGTCTTCACCTTTATTGCTTTTTGGGAACAAAAAAAATCAAATAAGCAAGAACGCAAAACCAACACCAAACAAAAAATTGGCGGCGTGACGATCTACTCCCTCGGCACTCCTCTAACTCCTGGCAGTCTCTATCGATGCACTCGGAAGCTCGGCTGAGGCTGCCTGGCGCTGGAACCAGGAAGGCGGTGAGCTTAAACTGAACCAAGTTCGGAGGATCGCAGCGGCGCCCAGATTTGAAGGAAGGTTTTTTGGTCTGTGGCGCTTGCAAGTCAACAGGAGGCGTGAAGCCAAAGGCCGGGACCCAGGTGATGGCCGCATCTGGAACCTGGGAGGCGGCGGCTGCGGGCGCAAGGTTCCGAGGCCCTGCTCCGGCGAGAAGCAGCGCGGGGCCTGGCGCAGTCCGCGGGGAAGGCAACGTGGAGTGGGGGTGGCGGGGGTGGTGGGTGGCGGCCGCGAGGCGTGCGGAGCGGCGCAGTACGCATGCGCCCGGTACCTGGCGCTTTCTGACCCTTCAAGTCCAAGCTGGGGCCTTTGGGTGGTGGGTACCTGTGGGGTACTGTGCGGTCGCAGGCCTCAAGCCAGGCCTTCAGTCTGGTGGTAGTGAGGAGGAGTTAACCAGCTCTAAATTCTCTTCATACCTAGACCACACCTCCATCTGCACCCCCAGTCCCTGGTCCTCCATTACTGCTTTTGGGTTTCTGTGCTCATCTTGCAGTGTGTTGGTGCTTCGTCACTAGCTATAGTAGGATGGAGCAAGAGGGAGGCTGCAACCTGGTGCACTCTACCCCACTCACTCTGCTGTCGGTACTTGAGATCCACCTCTTTCCCTCCCTATCCCCCTTCCGCGCTGGGTGAGACAGACTTAACTTCCTTCACATATAAATATACTCGCTTTAAACCTTCAATTTCCTTGACCTCAGAATTTTTGGCCTTGTGGTCATATGACCACCTTTATGGGCTTCCTTAGGAGCACCTGGCTACCCTTAAACTGTTCACTTTGGTGAGAGGTTATAATGCACTACTTAGACATGTTGCGGACGCATGATTTTAGATCAGCCTTAACATAACTTCTATCTTAGAGGTTATACATATTTAAATGTACACTGGAAGCCTAAATTTTTTGTTGTTAATTGCGTTTTCAGAATTAGCACCAAACTATTAGAGTTTCAACTAAGTAGATACTAGGTATTTACATAAATCAAACATTTTTTTCTGTTACAAAAAAGTATTCCAGCATTCATCTAGACATAAAAGCTCTAAGTGAGGGGAATATGCAGAATTCTCAGGTTTAAGGATTTGGACAGATATGGCAGATGCGACCTTGTGGGGAACTGTGTATCCTGTCTAGCTTTAGAGTCTATAAGTACTCACTTTCTTTACAAGCAAAGGATATTTCCTGCTAAGTGGTAACACTTCACTACTGTTAGGGTCTTCATTAAGAGAGCTAAAAATGTTTGAAATAGAAAAAAAAATTAAAGGCAGCTGGTATGTATTAATTGGCCTTACCAGTTCCACCAGTCTTAGCAAAAAGTTGTGTTAAGAGTTGGAAAACTTCTGTAATTATTTTGTTACAGTAGATGTATAGATAAATTTTCTGCTTTCATTTTCAAACCATTGGGGAGAAATTCTTAGGACTGATAATGCTTTTTAAAAAAAGATGCTAGTTTACAAATTTTTAGTTATGATAGGAGGTGTGTTTTTGACAATTCTTTTTTGAATTTTGCTGTGTTATCTTAAATTAGAATTTTACCACAGTTCTTTTACTGCGTTTGCATGTCTTTGTACTTGTTTGTGGATTTCTTCCTATGCTAAAATGCTATTAGTCCCATTTTTACTTTACCTTTTTGAGGTAGATTTCCCATTGACATGACTGTCTTTTTTTTTTTTTTTAAGCCATGTGTCCAAGATTAAAAAGAATATAGTTTGATATACTAATGGATGAGTAGTAGAGAAATAATTATAAACTGTCATGTTTTCTAGGAATCTTTTTTCCCTCTACCTGTTTTCTGAAAAAGGCTAACTGCTTCGTGTACCTTTATTAATAACTAGACAAAGGAACTACTTGTGTATACCTTTGAGCTTTCTTTTGAATGATCACATCTTGGCTTCATGTCTTCACTAAGTCACTTAAACTTTTCAGTGGGATGTTTTTGTAAATAGATGTCCTGCTGCAGTCATTACCTCTCCTGGTTTCAATTTGGTAGTGGGAGTATTTGGGGGAAGTTTGCAACCAGGAGACTGTAACCAGGAAGTACTAGAAGACAGAAGAGGGACAGAAAACCAAGAGCAGTAGGAGTTCATTCCTATAGTTGCGTTTTCTGTTTACAGGTAGATTGAAAAATTGTTAGCTTGTGGGGCTCCTAAAAATCTCTGCTCAGTTCATTATTGCCCTTATCAGAAAGAGTTATTAATGTGTCTTTTCATGTACTGTACCATACAGTGGAGTTAATTATAAGGAGTTCTTTCTTACTAGGATTGTGTAATATAAATTGACGACCTTGACTTGAATGAGCAAGTATATTCAGTTATATGCCAATGATATTATGGAAATCCAGAAGTGAGTATATATCTAGGTGGTGAGTAGGAATTCAGTACCCGTCATTGATGGAGAAGACAATTTTTGGATCTATCTCTCATTTGCTCTCATTCAGTTTTCTGAATAAATATTTGAAGTTAACTATAATAAGTGTAGGGGCTTCTGCAGTCTCTTGAGGATTGATTATACTGCAGAGTAATTTTTCTGAAGTGTAAATATGTTACTTAAAAATGTATTTATAGTTTGGTGACATGGTTTTTAAACTTTTTATTTAGTGTGTCTGTAAGGAAAGGCTTTATATCTACTATTAACTTTTCTGGGTTAAATGTAATTATTCTTCTATTATGAGTGAATTATGTTGTTTGAAATTAAAACAAAGGAAAATGTATACCCACCTTCTATTCTCTATTTTTTTCCAGTCAACAATAAGTTATGTAATTAAATCTGTGTCCTTTTTTTTTTTCTACTTCTTTATGCTTTTTATGGGCACTTAATAAGCTGGACAAGAAAGGAGAATGGAAATAACTGTAGATACCTTAGAGCAATGGTTCTCAAACTTTCTAGTTTTAGGATTCCTTTACACTTTTAGAAATTATCGTGGACTCCAAGAACTTTTAACTATATGGGCTATATCTGTAAATACTGCCTTACTAGCAATTACATGAGCAAATTTTGAATATTTATTAATCCACTTAAAAATAATAATAAGCCCATTACATGGTAACATAAATAAGACATTTATATGAAAAATAACTATGTTTTCCAGAACACACTTAGTGAGAAAAGTGACATTATTTTCCACTTTTGCAACCCTCTAATATCTGGCTTAATAGAAGATAATTGGATTCTTATATCTGCTCCTGCGTTCCATTGTGATGAGTTTTTTTTTTTTTTTTAAAGATTTTATTTATTTATTTGACAGACAGAGATCACAAGTAGGCAGAGAGGCAGGCAGAGAGAGAGGGGGAAGCAGGCTCCCTGCTGAGCAGGGAGCCCGATGCGGGGCTCCATCCCAGGACCCTGAGATCATGACCTGAGCCGAAGGCAGAGGCTTAACCCACTGAGCCACCCAGGCACCCCTGATGAGTTGTTTTGATTGAAATGTATAAAGAAAATCTGGGTTCACAAAGATATGGTATTGGAAAAAAGTATTTTAATAACCTTTGCTGATAATTACTTCTTTGATGCTACACTAAAACATGACAAGTAGTAGTTTCTTAAAGGTTAGTTGCAGTCTGGTTTTTGAAAACATGTCAGTGACTTTGTAGTCTATCACATTAAAATCTATGGGTTTGTCTTACACTGTGAGTGGATTTTTTTTACTTAGGTATGATTCTGTGAGATCCTGAACTGTCCTATGGGAGAATAGTGGTTCACTGAATTACGCATACCTTCTGAATTTTGAGTCTTTATTATGTAATTTAAAAAATTCACATGTTTGAATATCACCACTGATCTCAACACCGAAATCGTCAAGTACTGAGTGGGAAGCTGTCACTTTCATGATGGTAGATACAAGTTATCCTAAGTTCTAATTTTTGCTTAAGAGCTCAGATTTTATCATGGGTAACAAATAATGTCAGCTTTCCTTGAAATGAAAAAGTCTCTTCATTGGTTTTTTGGGCAAATGTCTGCCTAATACCCAAATCTGAATAGTCATAGTTAGTTCTTTAGAAATAGTGTCATGATAAAAGCTTGTTCAATTTGAAATTTGTTTGTATTAACACTTTTTCTCAAAATAACCATTATTCTTTAATATGCAGCAGTGGGTAAGTGTAGTTCCCATTTCATCATATGGAATATTAAAAAGATGTGTGTTCAAGGTTTACATTTATGAAGTTAATGATTTTTACTGTTCTATCTAGGACATTATTAAGTGAAACTGTCTTAAAAAATTTCTTTTAAACTGTGTGTTGCAGTGAAGAATATAATGACCACTACAGTGGTCATACAGTACAGTTTGGTGCCATTTCCTTGATTCCTGTTAAGGCACCAGCAGTTTTGCCCATTATTAGTTTTATTTACATCATCAGTACAAAAGTCAACTCAGTGAAAAAGATAAATCATGTTTCAGTATTATAGTGAAAATAGTTTTGACCTCTTGGACCTCTGAAAGGTTTTTAAGGACCCTCAGGGACCTACAGACCCCATTTTGAGAATTGCTGTTCCATTTCAAGCATAAGCTAGAGGGCAAGGATTTTTGTTTCTTGTTCTCTGATGTATCTCTTATACCTAAGCCCAATATCATCCTGAGACTTTATACCTATCTCTAGTGTTAGATTTTCTGGATCTGGATCATCTTTTTGGTTTACGATCTACTTTTGGTGGAGTACATCCTCTGGTAGTTTCCTAAGAAAGGGTGAATGCAAGGTATAATTTTGAGACTGCATATTTGAAAGTGTCTTTATTCTGATCTCTTATTAGATCATTGATTGGGCTGAATATAGAGAGGTTGAAAGTCATTTTCACTTAGATATGTGAAGGCAAGTCTTTTTTGTTTTTTGTGTTGCTTTACACCATTTTTTTCTCTTAAGAAGTTTCTAGGCTCTGTATATGGCTGTTGTCTGTATTTTTCTGAGCTATGTGTGGTATATGCCTTTTTTTTTTTAAGATTTACTTATTTTAGAGAGAGAGCTTGCGCATGAGCTAGGGGAAGGGCAGGGGGAGAAAGAATCCTCAAGCAAACTCCCCACTGAGTATGGAGCTTGAGGTGGGGAGGGGACCTCAGTCCCAGAACCTTGAGACCCTGAGACCCTGAGCTGAAACCAAAAGTGGCCACTTAACTGACTAAGCCACCCAGGTGCCCCTGGTATAAATCTTTTATTACTTCATTGTTCTGGGGATTTAAAGCAGTTTGTATCTTTCAATTCTGGAAATTCTTTTGAATTATTCTTTGGGTGTTTTTCTGTATCTCCATTCTGCATTCTTTTTATATGAAATGCATATTGACTGGATATTGGGTTTTCTAGATTGATCTTCTTTTACCTCCTGTTTTTTGTCTTTTTCTTTCTCCTTTCTGTGAGTCCTTTGACCTTATGTTCTAACCCTATTATATTTTTTTTATTACAGATTATAATTTGCTTATATTTAAGGCTTTCCTGTTCTTTGAGTATTCCTCCTATTCTTGTTTGCTGGATCATCTTCTCATGTGTTTCTGGGGATATTAACAGTAATTTTTTTTTGCATGTCTCTTGTTTACTACAAGTTGCTTTTTTTCTTTCTGTTTTGGTTTCTGTCTCTTAGGATAAAGGCTTTCATCACGTGACTGGTTACCTTTCATTGTATAATTGCTAAAAAGTTTAAAAAGTTTAGGAGAAAAGTTTACTGTGTTTAAGGTTTGGGTTTGGTAACTGGTGGGCTTGGTGATAGGGTGATTGGATAAGAGCCTGGCCTTTTTTCCCGGTGGGAGAGCTTCAAATATTTATATACCTTTTTTGACTATTCAGTTTTTGCAAAGAATCCTTTTCCAGAATTCTTGGATCCAAGCACATGAGTGCTGCAGTATTTCCCATTAGATTGAAGACTTTCACTTTCCTTTAACTTTTAGTTTAGCATCTTTCTGCCCTCTTTTACTGTGTGTCTGGACCTATGCTTATTGTTTCATTATTTTCCTAAAAAAAAAAAAAAAAAACAAAACCCACCTTTCCTGCTGTGTTTGGGGAGGAGTAGTCACTTGTCTGGTTTGGGTCAGGGAAGGGGCCTGGGCAATTACTTCTTTTACAGATTTTCAATTCCTCTGTGTTTTAGTCTTGACCTGTTGTGCTGGCTGTGGTAAATTCCTGAGCCTTTCTGATTTTTGCTGGGTGAATTGGCTTTTCTCTTGTTGCAATTCTCTGCAGTTGTGTGATTTCAGCTTTCTTAGCTCTAGATCCTCCATCTGGTTTTCATTTGCTGAAAATTTATTGACATATCTTGTCTACTGTTCCTGTTGTTTTCTCTTTTAGTCTCTTAATTCTTGTGAATTTACACTTTTTTATCCTTTCACACTCATTTTAGTATTTTTTAACCAGATAAGAAGATTATAATAAAAACTCATTTAAGTGTTTATTTATGGGTAAAGAAAATTCATAACTGTCTAAAGATGAAAATAAGAAAGGAAGGAAAAGCCAGGAAATAGAAAAACTTAGGTGATTGTTATAACTCAGTTATGTACACATTCTTTAATGGAAATATACAGATGTTATATATATGTGTAAATATTTAAATATATATATGTACATTTATATTATCTATATATGTATAATTTCATAATCACAGAATTTTGAAGCTGGAAAGGGTCATGGTGATCTTTTAACTAGTGCAATGTCATTTTTCAGTGAGGAAGCTGATTTAGATACACTAGTGATTTATTGAAAGTTTCAAAACCAAGTCTTTCCAATATTTTGTTAACTGTAAAATGTTAGAACTGTGAACATCTTAGAGGTTCATAACTATATTTAAAGTCTAATTCTGGTTCTAGGTAAATAACTTAGAATTTTGGATTCGTCCTGACAGCAATTTTCAAGTGGTGTTGTATTAGAGTTAGGGAGGGGATGCCTCATCTGACCGTTCTGAAAACAAAGATGTAATTTAACATATTGCTTTGTTTATAGTAATGATATTAATTTATTTTGAATAAATATTAAAGGGAAACATAAGATTTTTATTTATCTGATCCATTAACGGTTTATCATAACCATTACATACGATGGATCTTGCTTTTATGTGATATTGAAAGATAGCTAATAACTATTTTGGTAAAATAAGTGAGATTGCATATGAGACTCTTTATAAAGGCTAACTTTAAAGTAAGATAAGTAAGCTTCTTATCAACTAAGTTAATTCTTAGGTATAAAAACCTTAAGTTCTTTTTCTGTAGTTTTTTTTCCTTTTGTATACTAAATATACAAGCATTACCATAGCCATATAGAAAATAGTGTAAAATAAAATAATTACCCAGTTTTATCACTTCAGTATTATTAATTAGTTTGGGGGCAGTTGGTTGAGAGTTAGTGGCTCAGGTTAATAGTCTGCCTTCGGCTTGGGTTATGATCCAGGGTCCTGGAATTGCTCTGCATCAGGCTCCCTGTTTAGTGGGGGGTCTGCTTCTCCCTCTGCTTCTCCCTATCCCTCTGCTCTTCCCTTCCACTTGTGTTCTCAGTCTCTCTCTCCAATAAATAAAATTAAAAAAAAAATTACCAGTTATTTTCAATTTTGCTGTTACTCATATGTACACATATATATGTGTGTATGTGTATATATATGTGTGTGTATATACATACATATATATGGAGGAGGAGCGGAGAGAGAGTGAAAGAGAGGATCTTAAGCAGGCTCCACACCCAGTACAGAGCCTGACGTAGGACTTGATCTCACAACCCTGAGATCGTGACCTGAGCTGAAATCAAGAGTTAGACACTTAACTGACTGAGCCACCCAGGCGCCTCTCATAGGTGCATATTTTTGTAAATTGTAGTCTCTATAGATATGGTTTTAATAATGTTATAATGAATATAGTTTCCTTTTGAGAAAAACTTTGCAGATAAATTCTTAGAAGTAGGATTGCTTTGTCAAAAAAAAAAATCAACATTTTTAGGACTCTCTAAATTGCTCAGTTGCTTTCTGGAAGGATTATACCATCACTTTATATAGGAACGAGCAGTGTGCTGAATTGACTGACTTTACAATAACCTCATCAACTTTAGTACTTTATTATTTTTTTAAAGATTTTATTTATTTATTTGATAGAGCACAAGTAGGGAGAGTGGAAAAGAGAGAAGCAGGCTCCCCACTGGGCAGGGAGCCCAATACAGAGCTGGATCCCAGGACCCTGAGATCATGACCTGAGCCAAAGGCAGATGCTTTACTGACTGAGCCACCCAGGTGTCCCCAACTTTAGTAGTGCAGTGAACATTTCCTCCCTCCCTCAGATTTCACTAGTGAAATGGTGATAGTGCATTGTTTCAGTTTGCACTTTGTTGATGACTAATGAGGTTTTATCCATTTAAAATTTAGAACTTTTAGTTAGAAAAATGTAACTCTAAAAGATAGTAAAATACTTTTTATATTTAAGGAATGTGGAAATGAAGGATTAGTGGTTGATCCCTAAACCAAGTAATCCCTAAACCAAGTATTATATAATTAATGATAAGTGCAACTTAAAATAAAAGAAAATTATAATGAGCTGTTCTCAGGATTGACTCTTTTGAGAGACATTTGAAAAAGTGGGCGCCTGGGTGGCTCAGTGGGTTAAAGCCTCTGCCTTCGGCTCAGGTCATGATCTCAGGGTCCTGGGATTGAGTCCTGCATCGGGCTCTCTGCTCAGCAGGGAGCCTGCTTCCTCCTCTCTCTCTGCCTGCCTCTTTGCCTACTTGTGATCTTTCTCTATCAAAAAATAAATAAATAAAATCTTTAAAAAAAAAAAAGAAAAAGTTATGGATACATTTAAATAGTTCATGAATTTTAAAAACTGTTAATTGATAATCCTCAAAGACTGTACTAGAGCAATTTCTCATGTCTTGTCAATAAGCCAAGTACATTTAAAGTTTTACTTTAAATGAGACCCTTTAAATTTTTACAAAGTTCTACAATAATTATTATGTTAAATTTCATCCATTGTGCCATTGTGCTAGAACTACTTTTCTTTGAATTTGAACTTAGAAATGGGACGCCGGTCTTCAGATACTGAAGAAGAAAGCAGAAGCAAGAGAAAAAAGAAACACCGTAGACGGTCATCTTCAAGTAGTTCTTCAGATAGTAGAACATACAGCCGAAAGAAAGGTGGAAGGAAATCAAGGTCAAAGTCAAGATCTTGGTCCAGAGATCTTCAGCCTCGTTCTCATTCATATGATAGAAGGTGATTTTCATAATTTTCTTTTGTGTAGTAATGAGAATAACATTCTTTAAAGTTCATATGTTTTCATACTTTTAATTTTTCTGGGTGAAACATTTTTTCTTTTAGTAGTTATATATTTATGAGGGTTAAGTCCCAACCTAAAAGATTTTTTTTGTTTTTGTTTTTTATATTTACTTTTTTATTTGAGTATGTTGTATTAATTTCAGGTTTATATTTTAGTGATTTGACAAATTTATAAATTATGCTATGTTCACAGGTGTAGCTCCCATCTGTCCCATTACATCGCCATTACGGTATCATTGACTTTATTCCTTATGCTCTGCTTTTTATTCCTATGCTTTACTCATTTCATTACTGGAGGCCTATATTTCCCTTTCTCCTTAACCCATTTGGTCCAACACGTCCCTCCTCCAAAGGTTTTCCTTTTTGTGAGGCCCAGTTCATATGTCTAGTGTCTTCTTCCTTTGCCATTCTTTGTAGATGTTAACTAGTATAGTTCTCATAACATATTATCTGATAATATTTGGAGGATTGTATCCACTGAGCACCCCTAATGTTTTAATTGGTAGCTGATCCAGTCACTAAATTATGAATCAGTCATCTGACTCTTCAAGAAGAATAACATTTTTTCTCTATTTGCTTCTAGGAAGGATTGAGAAATAGTAAAAATGAGGTGATTCTTTAGAATCTAGATGATTTCTCTTTAATGCCTGTAAAATTTTTTTTTTTTTAAATTTCATTTATTTGTTTGAGAAAGAGAGTGAGAGAGAGAGAGAACACGAGCAGGGTGAGGGGCAGAGGGAGAAGCAGACTCCCTTTTGAGCAGGGAGCCCAATGTGGGCCTTGATCCCAGGACCCTGAGATCATGACCTTAGCTGAAGGCAGATGCTTAACCGACTGAGCCACCCAGGTTCCCATAAACACTTTTTTATACAAATGACACTTGATTATATTTTATTTCAGACGCAGGCATCGATCAAGCAGTAGCTCTTCTTATGGCTCTAGAAGAAAACGAAGTCGAAGTCGTTCAAGGGGTCGAGGGAAATCCTATAGAGTTCAGAGATCTAGGTCAAAAAGCAGAACAAGAAGGTATGTCATATCAGATATTTATGGCTTTGTAACAGATTATTTCCAAACTTAGTGATTTAAAGCAACAGTTACTTCTGTTCTCATAATTTTATGATTTTGACCGAGTTCAGCTGGTAGTTCTTTTGCTAGTTTCCTCTGGGGTCACTCATCATCATTGGCTTCTCATCCTCTAGTAGACTGGCCTGGGCTTTTTCACATGATGGAGGAAATTTTTGAAGAATGTAAGTGGAGAAGCTGTAAAATCTTTCAAGATCTTGCTTCTGTGTGTATTGGGATGAGTTTGTGTCTCCTGTAAGTTCATATGTTGAAGTCCTAGCCCCCAATATAACTATATTTGAACATAGGGTTGTTATTGGAGGTATTTAAGGTTAAGGTTAAATGAGGTAATAGGGTGGAGCTTTAATCCTCTGGGACTGATGGCCTTATATGAAGAGGAAGGGAGAGACTTCTACCTCTATGAGTCTGCACTCAGAGGAAAGGCGACTTGAAGACTGTGAAAAGGTGGATATTTATCATTTTTTCAGCCCAGACGGCAACCCTTACCAGGAATCACATCAGCTTGCATCTTCGTTTTGGACTTACAGCCTCCAGAGCTGTGAAAGATAAATTTCTGTTGTTTTAGCTGTCCAGTCTGCAGTATTTTCTTATCACAGCCGGAACAGACTAATACACAACTAGACTATTATACTAATACACAGACTAATACTCTGTGTCTTTTTGAGGTGCTCAAGGATCAGTAATAAAGAGAATAGCCTATCTGGAGTCAGTTGTACATTTGGGCAATGGTAGAAAATTTGGTTGAGTAGGACGGGGATTATGGTATTGATGGTCAATAAAAGGAGGCATTCAGAAATTATTGAAGGTTTTTGAGCAGAAGAATGTTAGGATGGAAAGCATTTTAGGCAGATCAGTTTCTTTTGTCTGCTTAGTTCTTCGTACTACTATTAGGCTTTACTTGTGGGCGTATATTAGCAGCCTGGTTTTGTTATTTAGGGCACAAAATTTTATAAATCACTATGTGAATCTGAAGTTGGTTAATAGCAGTGAAGTTCAAATGTTTAGGTTTCTGGCCTTGTGTTATTTGGCCTCAACCTCCTGTCGTTTGTCATACTCCATGGCTAAGCCACTCTTGAGTTAGATGCCTTTTATTCCATTCACGTACCCGATTTGCTAGCTCTGTTTCTTTGAGCATGCTCTTTTTTCCCCTTTCTTACAGTTTCTGTACTTTGTGAAAACTTCCTATGCTTTAATGTTTAGTTCTATTTAACCTTTAATTCTTTCTCAATCCTTTCTTGATTTTTCACTCCCAAGTAAAGTATAATCCCTCCTTTTTTGACCCCCCCATCACATGTGGCTCCTGATTTTTAACAGTTATATTTTGAATATTATGTTTTGATTTTCTTATATATTGTAAATTTTTGAAGTTGGGGGATCCTCTTATTACCTAGCAAAATGCCTTGCTGGTAAACATGCCTTGGTTTGAGTGAATGTTTAATTGGGGAAATGAAGTTAGGTAGAGTGTTTGGTTTTGTAGCAAGAAAATGTTTTATTGTTTTATTGATTTGTAGAAGGAAAGCTTTATTTTGGTTGTATTGATTTGTCTAAAAAGAGGCTGATTATCAGAAAACAACTTCAACTGAAGTTTCCCATCAGTGGGAACAAAAATAATAATTCATGCTTTTTATGGCCTTTTTTAGTTTATAAAGTATTTTCTCATATACTCCCATATATCGTCACATGTATCAGTCATTTATAATTTGATTCCAAGCATCAGGGTTTTTTTTTTTTTAAGATTTTATTTGTTTGACAGAGAGAGAGATCACAAGTAGGCAGAGAGGCAGGCAGAGAGAGAGAGAGGGAAGCAGGCTCCCTGCTGAGCAGAGAACCCGATGCGGGGCTCGATCCCAGGACCCTGAGATCATGACCTGAGCCAAAGGCAGAGGCTTTAACCCACTGAGCCACCCAGGCGCCCCAAGCATCAGGGTTTTAATGGAGGGAACTTTTGTAACCACCGGAAGACTCCAGGGAATTAGGGACGCTGTCACTGATTATTTTAATTTGAAGCATGGCAGCTGGTTGTTTGCTCAGAAGCCACTGGAAGTTTTTAATTTTTATTTATTTATTTATTTTTTAAAAGATTTTATTTATTTATTTGTCAGAGAGAGTGAGAACAGGCAGACAGAGTGGCAGGCAGAGGCAGAGGGAGAAGCAGGCTCCCTGCTGAGCAAAGAGCCCGAATCGAGACTGGATCCCAGGACATTGGGATCATGACCTGGGCCGAAGGCAGCTGCTTAACCAACTGAGCCACCCAGGCATCCCGATTTATTTATTTTTTTTAAAGATTTTTTTATTTTATTTATTTGACAGACAGAGATCACAAGTAGGCAGAGAGGCAGGCAGAGAGAGGGGAAGCAGGCTCCCTGCCGAGCAGAGAGCCCGATGCAGGGCTCAATCCCAGGACCCTGGGATCATGACCGGAGCCGAAGGCAGAGGCTTTAACCCACTGAGCCACCCAGGCGCCCCAGTCACTGGAAGTTTTAAGTGCTCTCTCAGTTTGTAGCACCGAAGTGAGTGTTTCTCAGGATACTCACCTGGAAGCTGTTTTTCTGCCCAATTATCTACTTAAAACTGTCTCCAAAGGGGAATCTGGAAATGTTAATTGCTTTTCCTTTGCAATGCAAAGAAGACCTTAAAAAGAGTGGCAGTGATACCTAGTCAACTACAAACTAGCATAATATGCATTTAGTAGTTTGAGTTTTGTAACTCTGTTAAGGTGCTATGCACAGTAATACCTTTATTTTGTATATTGGAAAACAAATTCAGAGGTTTATTCAAAACAGCAACTTCTCCACCTTTTGCATCAATACGTTGGTATTTAACTACGGTAACTAATCAGAAGTCACTGAAAAGTCTAAAATTTTGAGAAAATACATTATCCATGTCCTATACACATATTATTTTGGAAAATATATTTTAAGAACTAAATGAGTTTAATCTTGGTTTAACAAGAAAATTGAACTCATTCCTTGAGTTTACCAAGGCTATAATTTAAACAGAGAAGATGAAAGTAGTGAGTTTTTCAAAGAAAAAAATACTATATGATTCTAAATCTGAAGCTATGTTGTTAATGACCTCTGCTTTTTAATAGAAATGAGTGATTTCAGTCGTGTTAAGTCAAAACTTCAGAAAACGTTACGTATGTAAAAAATAATTGAAAGATAAAGCGTGTTCTATGAGATGGCAGGAAGGAAGTCAAATGTGTGAAGTTTGCTGCAGTTTCTAGGGATAAGTTATAGAGTAAGCAGGTGGTTATAATTTTTTAATCTTAATATAATTTTTATGTTCTCAAAGTATTCACGTTGTGACACATATCGCTTCTTTTTGCAACAGTGAAGAATCTGCTCCTGTTATCTATAGTACATTTACTTACTTCTTTGTTCTAGAGTACACAGAAGGTAGTTTCAGAATTGCTGATATATACCCCTGTAAAAAAACAAACACAAACAAGAGTCAATAATTAAAAAAAAAAAAAGATTTATGTATTTATTTTTAGAGAGAGAAATAGAGCAAGAACATGTGCACGCACAAGCTGGAGGGGCAAAGGGAAAGAGAGAGAATCTCAAGCAGACTCCCTGCTGAGCCTGGAGCCTGGCTTAGGGCTCAGTCTCAGGGCCCTGAGATCATGACCTGAGCTGAAACCAAGAGTTGGATGCTAAACTGACTGTGCCACCCAGGCTCCCCTAGAGTCAATAATTTTTAATGCTTTTTATCTTTACTGTGGGGGTGGTATATAGTTCTCTTCTTCACTTCATTATGGTTAGTTTCTTCAAAGAGTTAGGTTTGTTTGTTTTTGTTTGTATTTCATATTGTTTTTTTGTCCTGCTAAATTTAAAACTTTTATTTGTCCCCCCTTTATTTTTTTATTTTTAATTTCGTTATGTTTATTTATTTATTTTTATTAATCTCTGTACCCAACATGGGGCTCGAACTCACCATCCTGAGACCAAGAGTTACATGCTCTACTGACTGAGGCAGCCGAGCCCCCTTCCTCCCTTTATTTCAGTAGGTGAAACATTAATATGGTTCCAACAGACAGTACTATACTAAAAAGGTATACCAGAGAAATAGCACTTCCCTTTCTCCTTTTTAATCCTAACCACTGCGTAGGTAACTAATCCTATTTGTGTTTTAGCTTTCCACTGTTTCTTTTTAAACAAAACAGCATTATATCCATGGCATAATGTAGATATTCTTTTGTACTTCACTCTTTTTGTTTACTAATATATCTTGGAAAGCAGTCCATGTCCATTAAGAATAATCTTTCTCTCTCTCTGTCTTTGTTTTTTTTTTTTTTTTTTTAGTGGCTGCTTAGTTTCTCATTGTGTGGCTGTATCCTAATTAGTTTAGTTTCTCTCCTAGCTGTGCACATTAAGGATACTTTCCAAATTCTGTAGTTACTAAAAAGCTGCCATTGGATAACCTTGTACATGAGTATTTTTGTATTCCTGGAGGTATCTTTTCACAGTAAATTCCTAGAAATAGGATTGCTAGATAAAAAGGTAAATAAATATGTTTAAAGTTTTGCCAAATTCCTATCAGTAATGTATCCTATTTCCTCACAGGCTTATCAATAGAATGTGTTATCCTATTACATGTTTCCTAATCTGCTAGTGAAAAATTTTTTTCTTTTATTTTAAATTAACATATAATGTATTCTTTGCTTCAGGGTTTTTTGCTTCAGGGTTACAGGTCTGTGATTCATCAGTCTTACACAATTCATAGCCCTCACCACAACACATACCCTCTCCACTGTCCATCACCCAGCCACCTCATCTCTCCCACCCCTCTCCACTCCAGCAACTCTCAGTTCATTTCCTGAGATTAAGAGTCTCTTATGATTTGTCTCCCTCTTTGGTTTTGTCTTGTTTCATTTTTTTCTTCTTTTCCCCTATGATCCTCTGCCATATTTCTCAGCTTCCACATATCAGTGAGATCATATA